TGGATTCCAAAGAACCATGGTGACAATCTGTACCTACAATGCACGTAAACTTGCATCCGAGTCTTCGATAAAAGACTTGCTTATGCAAGCGAAAAGCATAAGGTACGACCTCATCGGCCTGGCCGAGACGGGTAGATGCCAGGCTTTCAACGCCGTCTGTGACACCGAGGAAGAACTGTTTCTCGGAACATGCGACAGTTGAGGAGTCGGCATCGTCAGCGTTTTCGTCAACACGAGTTTGTCCATAAACATCGATTCATTCGAACAATTTACGACCCGGTTCGGACGTTCACAATAAAGAAGACTTAAATCAATTTCGGCCTTGACAATCTTCATCGTTTAAGCATCAAACTGTGACGAAGAAGAAGTCAAAGCGTTCTATATGGACTTGGAGAAGTTCTAGAGAGAAGGCCAAACATTCTTTGAGGTTATTATTGAGAACTTCAGCGCCAAGATTGGAAAATTAAGAACGGCTGAAGAACACCACATTGGGACACACGAATGAGAATTGAACGAACAGGGTAAGCGGCTATCTGGATTTATCTTGGCGACCAAGACAATCCATGGTAACCCACCCAGATTCCAGAAGCCCCATCTTCAGCGCTGGACGTGGGAGTCTTTCAGTGGAGGGTACCATAACGAAATAGACAACATCATTGTAAATAGAAGGTTTTGCCTAACCGATTTTGCTGTTGTCCTAAAATTCTACACGGGATCAGACCATCGTCTCCTTCGTGCAACATTCTATTCCTCGCGTGAAGGAGAAAAAGCCGCTAAATTCCAAAACCGTAGTCGCACACCACCGTAAACCGGGATTTATTCAATTCATTAGTCGGCTGTTGGAAAGATGTCGTTGTCGATAACATCGACGAAGAATGCGATGGGCTCATTCAACATCTTCACGTTAGCGCTATGAAAGCTCAGAGTTCGAAGGTCACCAAGAGACGTCTGCCTTCAGAAACACTCGAGCTGATACGCCAGCGTGGAATCGTAGGAGCTGCAGGCAACCGCAAACTAACGTCCGAACTTGCAAAACAATGCAGACATGTGATGAAAGAAGATCTTAGAGAGAAAAGAGCAGGAGCAACGGCTGAAGCTGCTGAGGCTGGGAAAAGCATACGCAGAGCCCACCGAAGCTTCGCCAATTACAAGACCAAAATCGGCTTACTGTCTGTCGTCTACAAACTTTTCACTCGACTCATCACAGGTTTGACAGAACACTAGACGAAGAACAGTTATGTGAGCAAGCAGGGTTTCGAAGAGGATTTAGTACGTAAACCACATCCACACGATAACACTGCTCATTGAAGTACAAGTGATCGCTCTGCCCCAGTCACATCAATTTAGTGATGGTCTTTGACTCAATTGACATAAAAGCAGTCAGGAAAGCTCTTGATAGTCAAGGAGTTTTTAGTGAGTACATGAAGATTTTTGGCGAAGTGCACAAAAATTTCACAACTAAGGTATCACAGTTCTACAACGATATTAACATTGACGTTAAAAGAGGAGCTAGGTAAGGCGATACCATGTCGGCAAAATTATTTACCGCCACCCTCCAAAACGTCATGTGAACATTGGAATGGAAAAATATGAGAGTGAGAATCGATGGTCGGCAGACACACCATTTTCGCTTTGCTGAAGACATCGTCTTTATAACACCAAACATTAGCCAAACGGAACGTATGCTTGACGACTTTGATAAAGCCTGTGAAAAGATTGGTCTTCGACTAAACCTCACAAAAACGATTCATGAAAACGGATTGTTTTCGCATGCCCCATTCACGCTCAACGGAACGAATATCTCCAAGTGCTTCAGCTATTTCTATCTAGGTCGGAACATCAATATGATGAACGACATAGCTCCAAAGCTAAACAGCAAGAAAGGAGCGCCTTAGGGAGCTTTCAAGTGCATCGACCATTTAGTGAGAACAAAAAAGAACACCCGACTCCGTGTTCACCCTTCCGACTCAACTGTGCTTTCTGCCCTAACGTATACGTCAGAAACCTGGTCGCTGCGTAAGCAGGATAGGAGCTCAGCGCTATCGAACGCGCGGTCGAAAGGGCGATGCTAGGAGTACCCGTTCCACGCAAGTAACGGATGGGTTCCGAAGCTCCGATCTTCGTCAACGATCAACAATCAAAGAAGCCGTTCTGTACGCTAAACAGTCGGAAATAAAGTGGGCCCGACACGTAATGCATATGAAGGACAACCGACAGACAAGAGCCGTTAGTGACTGGATTCCTCGGGATGTTAAACGCACTGTTGGAAGACCACCGACTCGATGGCCAGAGTTTTTTACGAAGAGCCAAGAAGAAAGATATGATGCTCAACGAGTCTCTAGAACGAGCAGAACCGACTGAGCTATTCTTGCATGCGACAGGGAAAAATGGAAGATTTTCTGGCGTCCACTCGTCCACTCGTCCACAGATCTCGACCATCAACGAGACTACAGGCAATTCAAATATAGAGAATTCCTCAATCAGATAGAGAATTCTCTATCCGTATAACTAATACAGTCCACGGACCGATGGGGATCGCGTGGCAGCAACGCCGCGCGCATCCTCTGCGTCCATATCCCGTTCTGGCATAGCTAATACAGTTCACGGATCGATGGGGATCGCGTGGCTGCAACGCCGCTCGCATCCTCTGCGTCCATATCCAGTTCCGGCCATGGGACACACCCAGTAGTCCCGCCATTCGACCCAACGACGCCGTCGAGACCGTCCTTGCCAGCCCCATCGTTAATTCCACTCCGTTAATTTCACTTTGTAGATTCATTTGCTTAGGTTATAATGATAGTATATGTAGCCCTTAGCCCGTGAATCGCTGACACATTAGTGTTATCGTCGTCTTTCGTGTAATTATGTTATCCGTGTTAACATAAGTTAAATACATTCATTGTTCACAGGTACCTCACAAACGGTTCATAGTTCTTGCGCACTCCCGCGAAAGCCCCTCATGTCCTCGAGCTGTGAGCCGTTACATTGGTGTGTTGACCAAGTCGACTCGAACCCAAAGGAACAGGCACCGACCGATTCTAACTTCAAGGAGCAAGAAACGCTCATCGACACGAACCAAACCTCAACACGGGAATCTACCTACAAGTACGTTACATTAAGTCTCAAAAAAAAAAAAACAATGGCAACGATCCTGTCCGCTCGCCAAGGACAATTAACAAAGGCGATCAATCGCCTCGTATTCACCTTAAATAGCTATCAGAACGAAATAGATACGTCAGTAGACCTTCCGTCCGAACAAGATAGCAGAATCGAGTACATTACTGGACGGCAAAGGAAGATAGAACACGCAAAATCGGCCATTGAACATGAAAGAAACAGCGTCCAGACCGCGTTGGATGCTTATGCCATGATGGCAGACCAACTCCAGGAAAACCCTAACACGCAAACAAAAGACGAGCTGCAACGCACTGCCAATAAGAACGTAGAAAAGGCAGTCGAGTACCTCGACGAGGCGGAACGCTGCCTCTCTAAACTCATCGACATAAGAAAAACGTTGGAAGACACCGAGTCATACCCACGAAGGGAGTCAAATGTCCATCCACCTCTGGCGAATCTGCCACCCATCCCTATTCCGAAATTCAACGGAGACATAAGGGAGTGGGAAGCATTTTGGGGAGCATTCAATTACAATGTGCACTCCCGCCGGATGGGCGACCTCCAAAAAATGACGTACTTGCTAGACGCCCTTCAGGGAGAGGCAAGAGAATGCGTCAAACAATACCAAGTATCCCAAAGTACTTATCCGATAGTAATACAGCATCTGAAGGAAAAGTACGACAACAAACAAGCTCTCATCCGTGATTTGCTACATAGACTACGTACAACAGAAGCAAAGACTGAACGCCTCGAAGATCAAGAAAAATTGTGTGAAACTCTTTACTCGATAGTTGTTCAACTGCAGCAAAAAGGGGAACTCATCGATACTCTGCTCCTACAGCAATTACTGTTAGAGAAATTTACAAAAGAGATTCAAAGGCATGCTCGGCAAAAAAGACAACAGAGAGCAGAAGAGGCACGAACTTGCGAACTGCTAAAGGATATCAAAGACTACATAAAAGAGGAACTAGAACTACGGG